CCGTGGTGTTGTCACCAATTATTCCTACTGCCACCATCAACCAACCGACAGACCAAACAGCGTCTGTCCAAATCAGGGTCGCTCTCTCCACTATAATGCTGTTGTTGTCAAGATGGTCGTTCCAGTCGCGCTCAGTCGCACCGCCCAATGCCCTGTGCTGTGCCCTGCCCGGCCAGCCGGCGTCCTCGTCGTCGTACTAGGCACCAACTGATCACACCAAGCCACTGATCGCCGCACTTCTCTCGTTGCACTCAACTAATCAACCTAATAATCTAGCGCACAAAACACACACACACAAACACAGATAATCATCGTAATATCTAGAGAAAATAGGTGCGGCAGGCCGAATGACCGACCCGAGCCGGCATAGGCGGAGTTGATCGACTGGAGTGAAGTGTGGCGATTTTTTATTTAGTAGTAGTCATCTCGATCTGGAACCTCCACGGAAAAATATTCTTTCCTTTAAAGTATATCCTCTTTTTTTGTGCCTGATGTTGTCATTTTTAATTCAAAACGGCGTTGAACTCTCGCAACAATTACTACTTCCTCCTAGCTAGTTGTCTTCGTATCTTTCACGATCTAATCCCATCTTTATCCATCTTTATCCACTATTTTTCTGAGATTTCACATTTTATTTATCTTCAGTCTGATGGATGATTATCTATCCAGATTCTGCGCTCTTAATGTATGTCATGCACTCGATATGGCCTTTGATAATCCTGAATATCTGCTGATTCTCATCTGATAATCCTCTAGTTTGCTTGCGTATATGGCTATCGTATTTTGCAGATTACTCTCGGGATATCGCATCTCCTCATATCTCTACGGATCTTGCAGCACTTTAACTTGCCTGCTGCTAACTGAGATGCTTGGTTTGCTTTCATGATTTTTTCTACAAAACAGCGATTATCGGTGTAACAATTATTTTAAGTGTGTTAACATACTGAGAACAACTAAAAGAGATAACTAACTAACGTTAAGAGAGTTTTGCTCTTTCAATAGCAGCAGCAGCAGCAGCAGCCAGCTACCAGATTCCATCGTTAGTAGTACCAGCTTGTACTACTATGCTAGTAAGTAACTTAACTACAAGTGCATTTGATCGCGACACATAGAAACTTACTGATCGCCAATAGATCTGGATTTATCTTACTTTAGCAGATTTGAGAGTATCAATTGAGAGTCCGTGACAGACAGGTACCAAAAGAACAGGGAACTGGGAGGGATGGGTTGGGGGGACATTGGGTACTTTGGGGTGACATACTAGTGAAGACTGACACAACATCACCGTCAACAGTTGCCAGAGAACAACGAGAAATGGAATCAGGGCAGCAATACGGATTAGAGCAAGATATTCTCTTTGGAGTACGTGAATTTTATCTGGTCATTTCAACCACACAATTGGCTGGCGTCGTCTCTGATTTTGTTTCAGCGGATCCACTAGATCTTTCGCCATCCACTTGAGATTCTTTTCATCCCAACCATTTCAACCCTTCTTGATGTGTTGAGCTAGCTGCTTTGATTAGATCAGATCATCGTTTTGAATCACTTCTATCGGCAACAATGAGTTGAGATTGAACTCAGAATTCGGCTCGAACCCGCTCTTGACTCTTGACTCGTGCTTTTGATCGTTCAAAACTCTTATCGATGTTACGGCGGATTCTGTCTCGCGGACGAATCACTAGACGTCTTCAATTCAGTGCATTCTACTGATGCTAATATTCTAGTCATGTTATTATTGTCGTTCAATTGAGTGTTGAAAACGGCATTGTTTTGATCAGTTTGAGAGTTTTACAGCTGATCAAATTATATCTTGTTTGATCTTATTTGATCAAATTATCTCTTGATCACCATCCTCTGAAAT